GCCCGTCATCTCTTGCGACCTCCGACTTCTCCGCGTTACGCCATCACATTATAGCCCAGTCGTCTCTGTTCGTGAAACGTGCCAATGAAGCACGCCTCAAGATCGCCCATCATGCCTTGCCGTTCATCATAGAGGACTCGACGATCATCACTTACGGATACAGCCGGGTGGTCCATGCTGTGCTCACTGCAGCGGCAGAATCAAAGCGCTACTTCAACGTCATTTATGTCCTTCCCTCGACGGGCGTCTCGTCACCGCTCTCTAATGCCATGACCTCCCTCCACAACCTCTCCATCCCCACCACCACAATCCCGTTACACGCACTAACATATGCCCTGGCATCCCTTCCTCCCACTCCATCCTCGCCACCACAGTTTCTCATTGGTGCCACCGCGGTCCTAGAGAACGGCTCCATCGTCACAGAACTTGGCACGCACCAAATCGGACTCATTGCCAAGGCCTGCTCCATTCCCTTGCACGTGTGCGTGGAGTCGTACAAGTTCGTGGGTAACTTCCCGCTGGGGTTTGGGCCTAGTGATCTTCGAAGGATGGGGGTTGAACAGGATGTGTTGTGCTTTTCCACCACCAGCGGGATCGCCGCTCCTAGTTCGGACGGCGGTGGCCAGAAAAGGGTAGGAGAGTCCCCCAGCTCTGGAGCTGCAGGGTCAAACAAGGGGAAGCGGGCGGTGGCAAAAGATCCGAACGATCGAATGGTCGAAATCACGCCGCCGGAGCTGATCTCGGCGCTCATCACGGAAAACGGCATCATGACCCCGAACGCCGTCAGTGAGGAGTTGATCAAACTGTGGTTCTAGTCTGATCTTGATTCCGAGTTTGCTCTTGCTCCGCGATCCGCGATTGTCTCCCCGCCTGATCAGAATGATGCAAATGCGGGGAAGAAACAGAGATGTGATGGTGGAAAGGAAACTGATGAGCGTGTGGCTGTGCAAAGGAAACACGCTGTCACACGCTTAACCATTCCTCTCAACAGAGGGGAGACATATTCAGCTTACATGCTGATTCAAACCAAGCTCAGCTTAGCCCTTTTCGCGTTCTCCCGGGACCAGAACGGCCTTGGAGACCCGGGGGGGGGGGGGGGTGATCAGCTTAAAATGGTACGTCTATCAGACGAATCTGTCAAGGTGAAGTAACGGCTAAAGAAAAGGAAGCTCGAACGACTAAAGAAAGGGGAGCGCGAATGGCTGAAGGAAAGAAAATTCGAACAACTGAAGGAAAGGCAAACCCAGACAGGAAGCGCCCAGGGGAAAGGTATCATTGATTTGCGGACATCCATCCCTCTAAGAACCGTTATACTTAGCGGGTAAGGGGTGTGCCTACCTTGGAGTGATGAACATCAAGCCCAGTCTGCTCTGGTCAGATCAGGCCTGGCCGCACCAGCACCACGGCGCCAGATGTGATTGGCCTGAAACTAGGACCCCCAGCCAGACAAGGCCAATGCCGACCCCAGCCGAACTATTCAAAACCACGTTGAATACGAATCGAACCGGAATGAAGCGCAGAAAGCAAAACAAACGATAATGAGAGGAAAGAATACAAGTACGGCGTATGTACGATGGCAGAATCGGCCATTGCTCAGCGTTCGCCCGCACGCAGATCCTTGGATTTGGACTTTAATCGTGGTCGAGGACGTGGGACGAGGACGAAGGAAAGAACAGGTGCAGTGTGGCATGGCATGTTGAGTGACGGTGCCCACTGACTATATAGAGACTACATAGAGTGTCAATCAAAAGGGCAGTAGAACTTCGCCGAAGGTCGAATACAGCCAGCAAGCTACCAAGCAAGCAAGTTTATCACAGACTGGACAGCGACGAGCAAAGTGTCGTTCTACCCTACACCTCATTGCACGGAATGCTTCCAAGTCCGAGGCCCTCGCGGCAAGGGGAGGAGAAGAAGGGGGTAGACAAGTGCAGCGGTCTGATATAGTTTGGGCGGGCGGGGACGTGCGACTGTCTGAAAGTAATGACGGGCAAAGGTGCAGTGTGGCAGAAACATGTTAATTCTCACGTATCCCGCCTTGTGGCCCAGCAATAGCGTATTCGCCTTCTGTCCCAGGCTGAAAGGACTTCGACAACCAAAATCACCCAGGCCTTCGTGACGGGAATATCCACATAGAAGCCTAGATCGCCAGAGGGGACGATAGCTGGATATGTCGCCTTATCTGGTTTGATCCCTGTCTGTGCACACACCTTCCGCAAATGATTGACGTTTCCTCCAGCGCCATGCTGTGCAATATGTACTCGTTAAACCATTGAGAATCGTGACACTCCCCACCAATGTCCCCTGTGGATGTTTATCAACAAGAAACCCGCGGCCGCGTCGACATGCAGCCCCATGATTCACAGACGTCAAGTAAGATCATCGATCTCCCGTTCTTTTGCACGTAGCGCTGCCCTCATAACTTCCGCCTCACGCATAAGCTGGGCTCTTCTTTCTGCTCTCCAAGCTACTCGATCTCGCTCAGTCGCACCTTTTCTATGATCTTCAGGTTGCTGCGTTGCTGTAGCGTCCTCTTCCTGCCGACGACGACCAGCCTCCACTAGTGCGGGGTCAAGTTGCATACCTCCAGCTGCTGCCGCTGCCCGTTGAAGCTGAATGGCATAGTCTTCATTCGTGTCATGGGCGGTGCGCTGGGCCTCATTTACAGCTGTTTGCGGCACGTAACCGGTATAATCCACCGTCGGAGGCGGTCGTCTCCTCTTTGGTGCAGGTGAAACGTCTGTAGACATTTGCTCTCTGGCTTCTGCTGGTGGGGTGGATTCTGGCGACGTCGATTGTTGCTGTTGAGAAGTAATGGGGATCGGTCTGAGGACATCCGGCTGTGCTGGTACAACCCTCTTCCGCCTCTTGATTGTTGACTTCTTCATCTCCACCGGCCGATGCGACCCATGTAATTTGTGGTACAAGCCGCATGCATTACATATGGGATGGCCTTGTTCATCTCGCCGCCATAGAGGAGTCACTGTTGTTCCGCAATTCTTGCACGCAACGACCAAGGCTACAGTTCCGGGAGATGCCCGTGGCTGTGGCGCAGGATTTGATGCACTTGGACTGGTTCCCGGGCGAACCTCACTCTTCGCGTCGTTTCCGTCATCGAGTAGTAAGTTGGCTAGAGAGGACGTGTTGGCGGTTCTTGCGACTCTGTTGTTGTACGCAGGGCATCCTCCACAGCCTTCAGCCCCGCCAGCCCCATTGCATTCTCCCCTACCTGGACATGTACCAGTGGTGTGCTCCGGAACTCGGTACGGGATGCTCGAGGGCTGACTTTGCGCTGATGCCGATGTTGTTGACGCGGCCGGGGATGTCGTGGTTCTCTGGCGTGGGCTGTCGGCGGCGGCGCCGGACTTTGGATGCTTGCTTTTTGTAGGCCTGGGGGCGTTGCGCGACTTGAGGTAAAGTCCACAAGCATTACAGATGGTATGCCCTGTGGGAGACCGTCGCCATAACGGCGTCTTAGTCGTCCCGCAATTGCTGCAGGTCGTATCAGCAACAAGACCCGCCTAAAGCGAAGAAAGCAGGTCGAGATGAGCAGGCCAAAGTGCTCGCGGAGATGACATACCTGCAGACCTGGCCCTGTGCCGACGCATCCTCTCTCTGTTCAGGATGTTCAGCTGAGGACGATGGTGGTGGTTCACAGGGTTCTGGTCTGGAATCGGCTTGACCCACGGGAGGGTTGTCGGAGGCGACATCACTCGCACGATTTTCATGGGTCATATGAGAACTGTGGCGTTCTCCAAGAGCCGAAGACACAAGTTGATGAGCCGCATCAAGGTCTTCAGCAGAGGGTTGACGCATCATACTCTGTCGCTCAGAACCAAATGGGGTGCGACGGCGCAAGGGATCCATAGCACCTCGTACGGCCAACATGCCGGTCGAACCTTTGGCGTCTTGTTAGCTGAAGGCACCCGCCATCCAGCGGACAACGACAAGGAAGCGAGAAGGAGATGAGAATAGTCGCAAATCCACAAGGAGCGAGAGGCTGGGGAGACTCCAGATGGGATTGAACTCGCCGTTCTCACTCCGGCTTGAAGATACGAGAGAAGAGTCTCGGCTAGGACGAATGTAGGTGACTGTGGAAGTGATATCGGTGAGAAGAGAAGCGCTGAAGAGCCGAGTGGTTCAGGCCGAGGGCTCTGCGATGAAATATTGCTGGCTGTGAGAGCGAGATCACTCGGCAGGTTTGGACAGGGAAATCGGTGGTATGGTGAAAAGTCGAGAAGCCGGATCTATCCACGTCAACCAACGGCTGGGCAGCCTCTGAAATGGAGGGAGTGACGGCACAGATGCAGTCCAGGTTGAATTCGTGAAGCGCGACATCCACTCTACGCATCCTGCTGGCGTAATACTAAACACCTGTCTTCTGGTTGGCTGGGACATCGAACTTAATCACGTGGGGGCCAGTGTGCTCTTAGTGCTAGGCTGTTTTCAGCACCACACATAAAGCAGCGCGGCCACGTGGTGCGAAAGTGCTCTACTGGGTACTCGGGATACATTATGTCGCTTTGCATGGAGTAGAGTACATAGCGCTTATACCTCGTACACGGAACAGCAAGGACGGCCATGTCTCGATCCAAGACGTCTGCAATTGAATACCAGATTGCCGTCCCCGCCTCAATTCGATTTTCATATTAGATTGGCTCTGTTTATCCTCCCTCGCCTCCTGGCTGCTTGCCTCTAGTATGTCAGAGCTTCCAGAGCTTCCAATACCTCAAGATCCTGGACGGCAGATACACCGTTAAAAATACCTTGACGATTTATCCATTCCAGGTCAAGTTGGGCTCTCCCCTTTCCACTCTCCCAACACCCCCATTCTGACGATGATTTGGACGTTTGTCCCCATAGTCGTGACCTGCCAAATGTTTCTCACGTGGCTTTACTTCCCACTTGCTAGTCGACCAGACCAGACCTTGACCAAAATTAAAATACATCGACCGTGTCAATAGCCGTTCCTCCTTCAACCGAGGACTTGCAGGTAGACATTCTTAGACCTGTTCAGCGCCCCAGCCAGCATCGGCGTCCCGCATGTTGGATGGTGGCTCAATCGAGGGCGCAAACTCCAGCGCACAGTAACCGACGCCAATGACAGCAATAATGGTACCAGCAATGATTCGCAAAAGGTGCCCCTCAAGGATGATGCAGCCAACGAAGATGTAGACTGCTGAATGTTAGGATCTTTAATAAAATGGATCCTCCGGGGAAGGGGGACTGACAGATGCCGCGACCGAGGAAGGAAAACAGGAAGCTGGCATATTTGGGGAGGTATGGTGGGACTTGTGGCAGCATTTCGAGACCGGCGACAGCTGCAGGTGCAGTCAATACTTTGTGAGCAGGTCTTTGAAGCAGTCTGTTTCATACCCAGCCCGAAGATGATCACATAGATGCCCACGATGATACTTCGGCTGTCGAGATTTAGTATTCGCACAGAAGTTAACGGGAGGACAGAGCTGACAATCCAATGGGAAAGAACTGGCTGATTCCTGTCGCCTTTGTTAGTAAGTGTCCTCTTGATGGCTGCGCCGCTGGTGGAATTAGGCTCTTTTCATACCTCCGAGAACCATGATCGCTCCCACAACCAGGTTGACCAGCCGACTGCAGGTTTGTAGTTAGCACGAGTTCTCGAGAACCTGCCAGCAGCGTGCACCGCCCACATGCGCTCCGAACTCGAAACGTACAAGATGTTGGAGAAGTCCATGATGACCTTCAAAATGTAACTTGAACAACGCTCGCTCGTGGGAGATTTGCTCAGAGTTAGGAGCTGAGGGGACGCGCTCAAGGATACGGAGATAGAAAAGGGTGTCTCGTGGATTGTCAAAAGGATTCTTGCTTAGGGAGGATGTTCAAAGTGAATAGTCCGTGGAGTTAGCAGAATCAAACTGCGCTGCGCAGGCAGAACAACAAAGGGGAAACCGCCGAGCTGCGATTATGGAGTACTAGGTAACTCTTTAATTTGCGCAGAACAGACAAAGCTGGCAAGCTGGCAACTCACAACCCACACGTATGCCAAGCGACCAACTTTACCAAAATCCTTCGACTTGAGGTCCGCAATACCAACGAGATCCTACCCAGCTCCCCAGCTGGCCAGATGGCACCACAATGATCGGGCGAATATTCGAACTTAGATTCAGTTATTATTCAATTAGCTCATATTGTCCGCTTTGCGAGCAAAATTGTTAGCTAGACCGGTGGAAGACTGGTGGCAACATTCCAATGAGCTCTTCCCTTTACCTTATGACCTCAAGTGATGAGTTTTTCTAAGACCTTTTTATCATAAATCATCTGTGATATCAATCACGGTCTGGTCTCTAATGGTCCATTCCGGACCGAAATTCTTGTAATCTGCCATGTGCCGCCGACGCTATGCTATGCTGGGGTATCAAAAAGTGCAAACCCGTGCTATGAAGAACACCTCACCAATACTTGTTGGACAAGTAATCTCAACCTGTACTCCAGTAGAATTCCTATGCTCGCAATGTAGGTTTAGGCCTCTCGGCAACCGACATCAATCGTGAGCTGGACGCCTCTGAGACAGTAGCTGCCTTGTTGGTGACGAGATTAAGTGAGATGCGAGGCTGGCTTTTAGTCGGTGGCTTCGCAGGATCAGCAACAGTCTCAAGATCAGTGCTCTCCTCTTCCGGTGTAAGTTTGTTCTCTTGAGCCGGGCTATCTGATGATAGTTCCGTTTCTTGTGTGCTTGGAGGCGTATCTGCACTAGGCGAGTCATTTGCCATCGGCGGAGAGAGTTCATTGTCCGGTTCGGAGATTGCAAGAGTCATGTCTGCACGTCGTCTGGTGCTTTTCCGTCGATCTGCCCGTTTGCTTGCACGAACAGGCTCTCCATCCTCGTCCAACGATCTCTTTGAGCTCGAGCTGCGTTGAGAAGAGGTCACAGAAGGACTTCGCGCGCGATATTTGTCACTGAGCTGGTCCAGATTGTTCTCGACATCTCTCTTGCTCTTTTGGAGGAAGTCCTGGAAGAACTCGGACGAGAACTCCGACCTGCTGCCCCGGATCGCTCTGGTACTGAGGAGATGTGGCGAGGAAAGAGAACCGACCAGGGCGTTTCGAGTGGTGTCTTGAGGTTTGAGGAGAGGGCTGTTCTTGTGCCTTGGAGTGGAACCGTCTCTGCTTCGGGCTGAGTCGTAGTGTGCTCGCGTGACCTCATCTCCGCCGTAACAAATGTGAAGTGGTGGCACAGTGGCCGGGTCCCCTCGGTGCTCGTTTTTGTAGAGGATTGAGTCTCTGTCAAAGTTCTTGATGCGTGGTAGGTGCACTGTGACATCCTGGTCGAAGACCTGGCAAAATGCTACCAGTTCAGGCTCTCCGCCGTAGGTCCCACTGCGTGACATGAGAGACAAATATTCCTCGAACGCGTCCTCCGGCTCTTGACGGGAAGCGACTGTGGCTGAGCGGAGAGTGCGTCGTTGTTGCACGTCATCTTTGTGAACATACTGTTCGAACAGCGGTCGATAGGTCCGCATGTGGTCGATGATGCTTGCACGTATTTCGGGGTGTTTTGCCGGCGTGCCGTAGAGTTGGTCCGAAAGAGATGCAAACAGACAATTGCCTGAAAACGAGTCAGGTTGAAACGAACGGTGAGAGACGAGGAGAGAAGAGCACATACCGTCGCCTGCTATCTGCTTCTGGTACATACCCATCTTGACCAGACCCGGCCATACAGCCTTGGGCTTTCGAACCATGCTGGGAAGCTGCGTTGATGCATGGTCAGCCATGGTCGAGCCAGATCCATTGACCCAAGCATTTGGAAGAAACAAAACAGAGGAGAAAGAGGTATTGGGTGATCACAACGACATGACAGGGCCTGCAAAAAGAGGCAGAGTTGAAATCGACAGAATGGTCGCCTGCTAGGGGCTTGCTTTCTCTGATGGATGATTTCAGGACACCACGTCAATCAGTAACTAGGGGGACGAAGACGGTCTTTCCCAATTGCACCTCAAGGACGCAACGGGGCTTGGAGAGGGCACCAAGGCACCAAAGGGGGCCACACTGCACGGAGGGTGACGCAAAACACCGCCTGCTGTTTGGCTGGTCGGCTGCGGCTTACCTTCTGCACTCAGCCACCGCCTAAGCTGCCCAGGCAGGTAACCAGGCTAGGGCTAGTAGGCCTGTCTTCGGGGTTCTGGGGGCAACGCTTGCCCTGCGATAGGCGGGATTGAAGGAGGGGCTAAGCAAGGAGGTCGACTGACACCAACTGATAAGCCCACTATCCGCGTTATCATCACTCAACAGGACCTGTACCTGAGAGAGTGGTGGGGTTCAAGTTGCAAAGAAAAGCTTGTGAAGCTGCGTTCTCCGTATGTTTGTCTCTCGCTTGATTGTCGGACGCCCTGTGAGTATACTAGAGATGATATTTGTTGGTGGGAGAAGGCACTTTATTAAAGAGCAGGCTTGGAGCCGCACTGCACGAAAAACTTCACTTGCGGTCCTCATCCATTATATTTTCTACCTTATTGCGAGGTTGCAATAGCTAGTGCGGCAGAATTGGCCTATTCATACATTCACCGTCCATCCTGTTGACAGGGCGCCCGAACAATACGATCCGAACCACCGGGCCCTTCTGCCTGCCCATTGACTCTGAGGTCCTCCCATTCACTTGCACTCGGGCCAGTCACAATGGGTGAAAAAAACATTGTCGTTGTAGGGTAGGCACAAGTGACTCAACCTTCTCAATGCGGACGCAGCCTAACACCGCTGCAGAGCCGGTGTTGCTGGTCTGACCACAGCCTTCCTGTTATCCAAGAATCCACGGTACAAGGTCACAATTGCTGCAAAGCACATGCCGGGAGACTATGACATCGAATATGCGTCGCCTTGGGCTGGCGCAAACTACATGCCGTGAGTCGAGATACCCTCTTTTTCGCAAAATTGTAACACCTCACTGACAGGCGAAACAAAAGGGTGTCGGTAAAGGGGACTCCGGCACAAGAGTGGGATAGGAATACCTGGCAACCCTTTTTTGACTTGGCAAAGAACCATCCCGAAGCTGGTGTTCACTTCCAAAGAACAGAAATTTACAATCGTAAAAAGGACGTCTCCTCAGCCACGGCTGCCTGGTTTGCTGACCTTGTCAGTCCCAATCCATGGTTCAGTACCCTCTTTGACGATGTGAGTGGCTGTACTGTTCCCCCCCGACATCAAGATATTCACACGGCCTTGATCAGTTCCGCGAGATCCCCAAGTCGGGACTCAAGCCCGGAATCGATAACGCCACGTGCTTCACCTCAGTCTGCATCAACACTGCAATATACCTGCCTTGGCTCGTATCCCAATGTCTAAAGAATGGTGCCGTTGTCAAACGAGCGGTGTTCAAGCATATCGCAGATGCTGCTGCCCCTGGCGTCCATCATTCAGGCCGCCCAGCCGACCTTGTGGTCAACTGTACCGGACTCTCGGCGTCGAAACTCGGCGGCGTTGAAGATAAGTCGGTTGTGCCTGCTCGAGGTCAGATTGTTGTTGTTAGGAACCCGGCGCCCGCGATGTATGCCACGTCCGGGACAGATGACGGTCCAGATGAAGCCTGCTATATTATGACTCGGGCTGCCGGTGGCGGGACAATTTTGGGCGGTTGTTATCAAAAAGGGAACTGGGAATCTCAGCCCGACCCGAATCTCGCCATCAGGATCATGAAACGATGTGTCGCCATCTGCCCCGAGTTGACGGGCGGCAAGGGCATTGAGCATCTCGACATTATTCGACACGGCGTTGGGCTAAGACCCGTGCGGGAAGGAGGAACTAGAATTGAAAAAGAGAAAATCGATGGCGTCTGGACGGTACACAACTATGGTGCAGGCGGTAAGTGATGGTCGTGGTCTTCCCCCGTCGTGGTGCCTACCTCGATTGAAGTCAATCTCTTCGACCTGATCGTTGCTTGTCCTTCTCCCACAAGATGCCTAATTTTGTTTTGTTCCGACTCGACTTTCCCAGGCAGATTTTGCTACCTTGGTTGCTAATGCTATCCAGGCGCCGGATATCAGTCGTCGTATGGTTGCTCTCAAGCAGCAGTGAAATTGGTGGACGAAGCTCTTGATGATAGGGCAAGGCTCTGAGGGTTCAGCGGGAATTAGCAGTAGAAGTAAGATTGGACCACGGGCATGCCCTCCTCTCGGTACCATTGCCGGAGTCTTGATCTATGGTCTTGAAGAGTCCCATTTCCATGTGCAGATTAACTGATCAACCTAAATGTGTGACAACCGACTTTGTACTCTAGGTACTTTATAGGAGAGATAATGCTACACAAGGTCAGAGGCCCGCTTTCTCCACGCAGCATGGTTGTAGGGTGACCTGCCATCCAGATGAGGGTGCACAAATGCCAAAGCTTTCGAGGCGGGTAACTTGACTCGCCGATCAAGAGATTGCCGACAGGGGACAAGGGCGGCGCCACAGCCGGCTGAAAATGCTCCGGCAGCGAGGCGCCACAGCCGTTAGCTAGCTGAAGGCGCTTAATCCAGATTTTGATTCCTGTCTTCTCAGTTGCTTCCTCGTTCCTGCTGTATTTCCGGTCTTATTTGAATTGATACATCAATATCGCTGGCTTCCAGGCATTTGGAGTGTGCAGGCAGGGACCGGTAAAAACGGCAAGGTGTAGCGATTACTGGTCAGAATATCCGAAATAGATCACCAGTGTCTCGAAGCAGGGTTGTCGAGTCTGAGACATGCGCTTGGAAAGGAATCGATCAGATGCAGGAACCCAGCCGTCTACGCCACATCCATGGACTCGCTACCAACTAGCTATAGTCCGCTGCGCAGGGATTGGAGGTCGATTTTGACCTGGCAAGGCGACTTGGCTCGGGTACCTGGACGGTCTTGTCGAGCTATCAAGGTCCGTGAGGTTGCCAGGAACAGAAAGCAAGGAAATACAGGAACGTTGCAGACACCAACCACACCTGGTGAACGTCACCAAGACTGAGAGCAGGAACCACTGTGCATTTCGGTGATGCAAGCTGGCACCACTAGTCGAGAGTCGTTCGTAGGGGTGGGAAGAACAGGAAGAACAACAGAACGGACTCATTCTTATCCATGCCTTGGAGAGTCACCACGGGCGCAGTGCGATTGAGGGCGTGTTGTGCTGAGAGGGTTCGTGATTTGTCCACTTGGCTTTCTCCAGCCCCGCGCTCTCACAACAGTCTCGGGGGCTTTCTGGCTGCACGGAGGACGCTGACAGGAATAAATGCTGTGACTCGTGGCATTGCTTCGTACACTGCTGGATGATGGTTGTACCTGTGCCTTAATGTCTGCTGTGTTCCTTGCATGTCAGTAAGACGTTCCCTGACCTCCTGTCATCTTCCCGTCGCGTGCACCCTTGCCCCGGGGAATCGAACCTCGTATTCTGACCGAAGGCGTAGATTCTCGCTGACAACACGCTGGATTCCATGGGCAGTTTGGCATCGAAACTCGGGTCGGTTTCGACGAGAGAGGTTTGAGCCCTGGTTTCTGACGGGAACTTAGCTTAAAGCAAAGCTGTGAGAGAATTGAGACTGTCTCTGTGAGAAATGCCGTTTGAGCCTTCGCACTGGTCGGCACAGACGGCCACGAATGATTGGAATAATATCCTCCGAATGATGGTGGTTGACCAATGCGAGCTGCCAGATCTGTTTGTGATGCCACTTCATGCAGATGAGGTTGATCTCTGATGGAATTGCTTGAAACAACAGGAGCTGTGATGCAAAAGGCATTTTCCCACGCTTGATCTGCATCGACGTTCAACTAATCACTCCAGAAAGAAAGATTAGTTGGAAACATTTAGGATCATCGGTAGCTCTGGTGCCGTTCCTTACCTAGCTGGTGATGGATGGGTCTCGAGGCGAGGAGGTGTACTGGGTAGGGCAGGCTGGTGGCTTGTTAAGGGCGGGTGGGTGCCTGTGAAAAAACTCAACACCCCTCCTGCCCTCCTTCCCTGAAACGGTGCAGCTGTGGTGGCTGTTGGTTAAGGGTGGATGAGCTCCCTAGGCTTATTGTGGGCTTCGGGTCTCCCACGACCCATGGGCATCATGGGGCTCCACTTCAGCCCGCATTGATCGCCTAACATTTCTCAGTAGCACACCAAGCAGATGTCCACCATGACTGCCCGCCTACAAGACTAAATAGTCCGTAGCTTAAGCTGCCAATTCTGACTTATTCTTCGCCTCCAGTTCATTGTCTTTTTAGCACCTGCAGGCCCCTAAGCAGGTCAGTCGCCTACTTTGTGCTGCTGCCGCGCCCGCCACTCGCTCATCATTCGACATCATCGTCACGGTTCGTCAGTGGCACTTGTGCGCTGCTCTGAAGCCACTCGCCATCTAGCAAAGCACCTGCGTCCAAGCCGCCTCGCTTCGTTCCTCTACCACGTTTTCCGCCCATCGTTCATTCACGCTCATTCAAAGCTGCTCTATACTGCGAGCCCTCTATTTCCATTCTACAGAATATCACTTACTCTATCTCAAACCATCGAGTCCATCCTCCCCATCTTCGCGTCTTGACAGCCCAACCGTCCTCCTGCCTGTCACGACTCGTTGAGAACCCGTCACTTTGCCCCCCTCTTCCAAAAAGGCAAGCATTGCGACCGCGACCGTGTGGCTTTGCCGCCCCTATGACAACCAAGTTGAAATAACAACATCACATTTCCGAAAACCGTCTGTGCCACGGTCGGTCGACTTTGCCTTGCTTCTTATACCGACATTGAAAATTGTCTTGTTCGCCCGTCGGGTCGTGGTTGATGTCTCTAATCAGGGTTTGCGAACCTCCACCTCGACTAAGCCCTATCCCTTGACTGAGCCGTCCGTTTCCACCGGCTATCTGATCAGCTACTGCTGGGCTCAGCATGGGCTTTTGGCCATTCGGTGGAGGCAAAAAGAGCCGGATAACTCAAGGCGAAGACCAAGGACGACACACTCTTCTGGAAAAGACACGGACAGATCTTCTCGCCAAAAGAAACACAAGCTCCTCTCAAGAATTCGTGACCATGGGCCACACAGCGACTCAACGCGGTCAAGACGAGAAGCCTCGAAGGCTTTCGAAACAGCGGCTCCCTTCTCATCCCGGAAACGTCCCTAGGGCCCAGACGTTACCCATCACTGGCCCTGGAGTCGAGTCGCTCGGCTACAAAAAAGGCCCCAACGGGGGAGGCGGTGGATTTCAAAGCACTGATATCTATTCGCACAATATATTGTCACAGACAAGTATCGGCCCTGAAGATTTCACGGCACTGCCACAGGCTCCCACGCTGCTAGCCAAGCGTCCGGGATACGACCCGACACTTCATCGCAGAAAGTCGAGTAAGAGAAAGGCTGAGGACTATGCTCGTGAGAGGGAGGTGCGTGCCATGAGCTCGCCGATCCAAGTCCTGAAGAGGCCGACCACGTACTCAGGATCTGGGCCACTACGACGAGACACTAAACAGATTCCTGGCGACCTTAACAGGAGACTGCAACGGCCGACATCGGAAGTGTCTTTACCGCTCCCTGAAACAATACAAGAGTCTGAAGATTTCGCCAATCAAGCTTCCTTTAAGATTGGAATCCTAGCGGCTTTGAGCCCCCGCCCCACGCTTACATACGTGGCAGGCCCTCGACCTTCAGCTGGAAAGAAACCCGCCAGAATAAAGCCATCCGTTCAGCAAGCTATAGAGGAGGAGGATCCTTCGTCGAAGAAAAGGATAAATGAGTTGGCGGACGAGCTCGACGCGGGAGGATTGAGGGAGTTGATGGACAGAGATCGAAGACGCAAAGAACGAAAGAAAGAGGCCGACCGTGCTCGATTAGAGCGAAAGCTTCAGCGTAAGGCTGATCGGCAGCGGGAGGAGGAATTGGGTGGTCGCCGGGTCAATGATGCCTCTGGTGATCTGACAGGCGTAGGTGAAGACGCTGAAGGAAGGGGTCGGGCGCCATTTGGCAATTATGGAGAAACCTCACAAGCAGCTGTGGCACGAAGGCCTCCAAGTCCTACACACAAACCGACTAATCCATTCGTTGATCCGGGAAGCTCACAGGCTCGCCCAGTCCAGTATATTCGAAATCCATTTGAAGATGAGAAAGATATTGATCTCACACAAGAATCGTTTCTCCACGAAGAAGAAGAACCACCGGTGCCCGTCAGATCACCGCTCCGAACGGTCCCCCCGGTGGAAGTCAGGACCGAGCAGAAAGCATCCCAGGCAACCACAATGTCCCCTCCCATTTCTCCCGTGCAACGACCCATTGACCGCCAAAGCCTGTCCCAAACCAGCGGGTTGGCTCGTGAACTCACACCTGACATTCCAGAACATGGATTGATCGATCGACGCGCTTCAGACCAGAGCAGTCAACAGCTCAGCTCTTGGACCAGCTTTTTCAGACGTGGAGGGAGACGGAAGACCAGTAACACTGAACGCGGTCGCAGCACGCCTTCGGAGTTCTCGAACACGTCACGCGAGTCATTTGCTGCTCGAAAGCAACAGCCGCCGCCTGTGGTGATTCCTCGAACATTTCGCAGGTCTGAATCCTCTTCAGTCCCTCAAAGAACTATGTCGAAATTTCGGGAGGATCTGCCCGAGCTTCCGATTTCGCCCCCAGACTCTCGTGTTCAGTCTCCTGAAGCGATGACTACTGGTAGTCCACAAGCTGGTCAGGCGTCTCGGCAACCGCGACACTCGCTGTCCGGGACACTGGACAATCGAAGTCTCGCCACCAGCTCGAGTAATGCAGCGTTGGATCGTGGGGCAGCTGAAGCTCGTCAGGCCCAAGGCATTGACATTGAGATGAGCGGGACAACCTCCGGGCTGGTGTTGTCCCAATCGCTCGCGTCAGTTGACTCCGAAGGATCTTGGCTGTCAGGCAAACCGCCCAAGAGGCATTCGGGGGGTATGAGCCACCCACTTCGACAAAGCCAATCTTCCATTCCGCCACAGTCCATGCCTGGCTCTTTCGGACCGGAGGATGATGACCTTGCAAACGATGAATACCTCAACAAGTTGTCTCCTGGCCCGAGTGGACGGCGAGATTCGGTTGCTTCTGCGGGTCGAAGAGCAAGCAGTAATGTGATCGACCTCGAGCGAGAACGCCAACAAAGCCCCGTTCCCAATATCCCTCCAATCTCAGCCGCCCAAGGTGGAGATGAGACATGGCACGCTGGCGTCGGCCGCCAAGCTACCGTGGTCCGGCAGCCTAATAGAGCAAGGTCGAAGGAAGGATTATTGAAGGAGCCAAGCAAGGACGACACAGGCACATCTCGAAGAGCTAGCTCTGATGTGGAGGACGAGGAGGAACTGGCAGAAGGCGAGGCGGCTGGAACGGAATTACAAGAACCAACGCTCATGCGAGCAAGAAGTGTGGATTACAAAGGCCATGCGAGGCATATGAGCGCTGGAAGTGCGCGGTTACTGGACATTCGACGATCGTCGACGCAATCCGAACGTGCACCACCGAATGCCAGCCTGCCCCAGATTGTACCACCAACCCAACGGGAACAGCCCACACTACCACCGAAAGAGTGACAAGGCTGTGCTAGCCACTGACGCCTATCCCTTTTCCTTTGTCCATTTTCTATGTTTTGCCCACGGCAGCAAAAGAACCGGCAGATGCGGGACACTGTCAGGACGGCTGGTCAGGACATTCCTACGACATTCACGATGCGCAAAATTGATACCCCAGATCGCTCTTTTAACATTGCCTTTTTTTTCACATTGGGGGACATAAGGCTTTTTTCTATGTCTGTGGCGGATTTTGAATTGGATCACATTAGCGGGGAGAGTCTGGTTAAAGGGGACGAGCGGGTATATAGTCCATGAAGCAGTTGATCTGCGAGCAAAGGAAGTGGTAGTTAGCGGTACCAATTTCCAGCCAGCCGAATCCTGGGTGATTTGGCATCTTTTGACTTGGACTAAAGGTATAGCTGTACACAGAATGAGGAGCAGGGTGGTAAATTGTGTACCCAGCTAGATACTTGTGTACTTGGTCTCTGGAAAGGAGATCAAATGTCGTGATGGTTGGAAGCAGCCCAGCAGCCACCAGGAAGTCACATGTTGGGAAGATGACGTCAACATGGAATTTTCAGCCGTGTCATGGCCGCGGCCTCGGGGACTACGAGAAGTGCCTAGTGCTGGGGTAATACTGGGTACAGTTGGTGCTTCACTAATTAGCAAGAATTCAAATATTTTTACGAGGCATCTGTTGAACTGGATTTCTAATCGCGTCATCTTTTCCCTCATCTTCGTCTTTCCACCACCATCACCCCTCCTTGCCCTCCTTATCTCATTCACCACTCACCATTCACCATTCGCCATTTTCCATCCATCCCGCTCCCCCCAATTCCAGATTCCCTCAGCCTCACGCCTGCGTTGCGCAGTTCTCTCTTTATATAACCTTCACCCTGGCCGCCTCAGTCCGTTCCTCCTCCATCAAACTTCAGCGCCTGTCGCTCACGCTCAAAACTCCACTTCGAACCAGAATAACCCCCTCGACCCGTTTCTTCTCAACCACACACTCGAATCCTTTATCGCACTCACCCTCCAAGATGGTCGTCCACAACCTTGCAGAGTACGTAGCCTATCATCAAGCAAAGCTGCGTGAGGAGCAATCTCGCAATGCTCCCAAGCCTGCAAAAAAGTACGGTGTTAACCCCATCCACAGCAAATCCTCCTACACCACCTCCATTATTCAAGCTCCCGCCGACAGACTTGTGGTCCTCGACTGCTTCGCCACCTGGTGTGGCCCTTGCAAAGTCATAGCCCCCGAAGTTGCAAAATTCTCCGAGTCCGATGACTTCAAGGACAAAGTGGATTTCTACAAAGTCGACGTCGACGAGGTCCCCGATGTCGCTCAAGAACTGGGCGTGCGCGCCATGCCTACTTTCATGATCTTCAAGAATGGCGAGAAGGTCGGTGAGGTCGTCGGTGCCAACAAACATGCTCTGGAGGCGGCGATTAGGAAGAACTTGTAAATCCTTTTTTACGGCCTCACTAGACTCTCACCTTACCTCATTCGAACGAGTATTGATCGCGGTTCGTTTGTCCGGTCATTTCTTTTGAAAGACGTGTCGACGGCACGCAGGTGAAAGTCACGAGGAGATGAAGAAAGACAAGCTGCACTGAGGGAAGACGAAAAGCCCACATGCTACAAACAGCGTGCTGGCTTGAGCGAAATGGTGCTATTTCGCGTTAATCAAACCCATAAAAGAATGGATATTTATCTCAGGATTTCTAACCGTTCCATTCCTTCATGTTGCCCTAGTCTCCGTGGCTCTGAATATCGGTGTATCTTCATTGACTCGGCTCATTTTTAAAACTGAATTCTCTGCCTGGAACCTGGGGGATGAACTAGGACTGAAGGCAAGGCAACAAGAAATCAAGGGCGATCACGCAGTCAGATTCAACCCCGCAACTGCGTCGAGTTATGTCACACCCCGAGAGCTGCACGAAGAATAACTACCCGTCAAACGGCCATCTCAACTCGCACCCTTCCCGTTCCCACGATTGAACTCCGCTGCGCAAGCAGGCAAATTTCGCCAAAGCGGGACGAACTTGTGTATCCGTGTATCCGTACCAAGTACCCAGTCCTGGGAGGAAGGAATGGGCACTTGTAGAAAACTTGTTTCTCGTAGCACACATATTGTTCCAGCTTTTGTCAGAAAGACTAATCCACCATGCTCCTGACCGAGATCCGCCTCCCGCGGCCAACGATTTCAAACGCTCTAGTTCTTTCGTTTTTCCGTGGTGTTTTCTTTCCTTTTCTTTCTTTTTGTGGTGGAGGAAACAGACCCTGATCTGATGCTGACGGGCAAGAGTCTGCTAACTTGGCCCTGCTTCGAGTAAAGGAAATTCTTCGCGCTTTCGACTCTTCGAAAGATAGAGACAGGAAAACAACCAGGGACTCCAGGGGAAAATTTGACACGAAGCCGATCAAAAGTACGTGGTTTCTGGCCAGGGATGTGTACAATTGTTCAGCCAGCCTAATGACCCTCTATGTTGGAAGTGGGACGTAGAACTGGAGCTGGTGGAAGGATTCCGAATTAGGAGTCCCTGTATTAAGCCGTCAATGCCCTTGAAGTGTACAGTAGAACTAAAGGGAAGAAGAAGAAGAAGAAGAAGAAGAAGAAGAAGAATGTATACCGTCTTGCTTTTTATTTTGCTTGGACCTGTACAATATTGACATTGTGTAAAGAGCGAGAGACCTCGAGTCTTCCCGAAAAGGAAGGGAGATCTGAATGATTCCAAGACGAATGCAGTAAGATCACAACTAAGAGCAGTCCAGTAACGGGAATTCTGGAGACGAGGCGAGGTGTTGTGCCCATGCAGGTGACAGCCTTGCGTACGAAAGTAGACCTCGATCTGAGGTGGAATAGACAACTTTGGGTCTTCAACCACCAGGGGCTTGCCATTGAATTGGGAGGCCGGGCGCTAGTAATTGTCATCGTGCCCAGAGTCTCCGATGCTCTCATGGCACAGTCCAGTTCGTCCGTATACGGCATATTCACTACTGTGTAGATGTCCCTCTGCACGGGATCATCACTCTGGAGCGGATACCTAGCTGTCCGAGGCTCGAGAAATGCGTAGGAGAGGTGTGCCCTAGTCGAGCTGCCCCTTTTCCTCGGGATGGTGTACGAAAACAAGTCGCAGTCATGGGCTACGGCAGCTTGTCGGTCTTCGGAAGTATCCAAGTCGTTAGGATTCGGGCATCTGGATATTACCTAGGCATGTACGCCGTACTAGGGACTGATCTCGGGCAGATACTGCAGCGAGGATGGAAGATTTAGGGATGGAGGTCGACGTTGGTTTAGCGCATTGCCCGATGTGGTTAGTAGTCCACTAGGGTGACTGCTCACCGTCATTTGGGATTTTGGAGATGACGCCGCCTCGCTGCGCCGCTTCCCCTTCTCCTTCCCCTTCTCCAAATTGAAGACGGAATCGGAATGCGGAAGCCCAGAAGCAGTCCATCCAGGCTACCTACATCAGCAAGCACTGTGCTGCCTTACCCTCACTCTCTTTTACACACTGTTCTCGAACGCAGTCGGCCTCAGCTATTCACAACATGCCTCGATGGCTGCGTCTAGCTCGTCTCGTTCCTGCCCTTCCCTCTTCGAACCCGGTTCTGCGCAGCCATTCAATATCCCGTCATCCGGTTCAATTTCCTGTAGCGCCTTGAACTTCATGTGACGACCAGCCACTACACATTTGAGACTCTAAACGTTGTATTGAGATGCTGGGGAGATTGATTCAAGGCTACGCCAGAGGTAGCCAGCTCGAGAGCACTACAGAAGAAATACACACCCGCAGTCTGCTCTGGCCAGAAGTGCACGCGGACGGACGTGCCAGTTCTTTATCACCGCCAACCACCCCATACGGCTCCCCTACGGCCCGGGTCTCGCCGTTCGATGATCGAGTTGGGCTTGAGCTGAACGAATCCAAAGACTTGAGGCTAATTGTCGCCCAAGATGCTTTCGGAACGAATGACCGTCCTTTGCTGCTCTTTGACACCCACTTCGTCGAATCTAAGGAGCCGAACTTGTGCCAACGCACAAATGCGTCCGTTGCTGCTGCCCCTGGAGCGCCTCATCGCGCCGGGCCTGGCATTCCCATTCTCGGACATATGAGGAATCGAAGTTCTACCATTTCAGGAGTGTCGGCGTCTTGGGCGCGCCCTCACAAGGAGACGGAGCCGACGGATCACCTCGGCAACGTTCTAGACTGCATGTTTGGCGTCAGCAGTGCCACAAAATCTGGTTCCAGCACAAAATTACACTTCCTTCCGGGAGACCGGGGTCCTGCAAGCGACCTAAGTTCACGTACACCGTCCTCAAATCTGCCCAGCACAACGCCTTCTCGTGCTCCCCTGTTGCGGGCGAGGACAGCTACGACTGCTGTCAACAACCAAGGCCAACCCAACCCTCCAAGAGAATCTGAACCAGAGCCGCGGGACGCTATTCTGGTCACTCGCATGTTTTCGGTCGCGCTTCCCGACGCTCAGGACGATTTAAGACAGCGCCGAAGGTCTTCTGCTGACCCGTCTAATTCAATCAGTCCGCTTTCGCATGGCCTTGAGCACCAATCGGGCTCCCCCGTGCAAAGCAAGAAACCGAAGCTCGTAGAGAAGAAGATTCCAGTCTTTGCGATTGGCCTACTTTTCTACTTGCCCCGCCCTGGCGACGTACGTCCGACCACTTCATCGGCTCGCCCACCATCAAGAGCCTCATTTACGCCGTCATCGACTCCAAATTCTCAAGGATCGGGTTCCTTTTCGTCCTGGACGGTCTTGAACGCCATCCCCGAGCACCTTTGGTCCAACGAGGCCGCTTCCAGCCAGTTGACCGACCGTGGCATCGACACCATTGTCAGGAATTGGGAGGTCGTTCTAAGGAGCCTCGCTGTCGTTGAGACCCTAGCCCGCGCCGAGATTGCCGAGCTTTTGCAGGAGGTCAACTTGGCGTTGATAACCTCCGCTGCCAAAGCACCAAAAGGTCCTTCGGAGCAACGTACAAATCAGCGTAACGTCTATCTTCGGTCTCCAAATAGACTGGCGCAAGTGTCTCAGCTACAACGCGCCGCCAGGCATACCTTATGGAGAGTTTCGTATGCGCTGCGTATACCCCGTGTTCTTACCGGCTTAGGTCTTGACAACGGTGGCCATTGGCTTGACGAGGCACGCTATCTTGTCCGAATCTGCGGGAATAAACAGCAAAACTTCTTTCTCTTCAATCTCTTGACTGCGTTTCTCGGAAATCATACCGAATGGCTCGAAAGGTTGGGGCCAGACTGGTATCGAAGACAATTCAGAGCGTTAAACAAAGGGAAAGCTCGACCCAGCAACCTTGCCTCTCGAACCGTCATAATCTGCGACAACCGATCAACGGCTCGCCGAATTATTTTTTTACTGGCATCTTTTTTACCACGGAACGCAATCACGAAGCTTCCAACCGAGGTCATGTCGCCCCTCCTTACACCTGATATCAGCTCCTCTTCGCCATTCAACAGAATCCTCAACGAAGGTTTGCTTCGTCGCCATGCTCATAATAAGTCTCGAGATGGGACTGCCACATCTTATCGTCGTGATGGTGCTGGGTTGTCCAGTAGCGTCTCGTCTTCTGAGAGCGTCAGTGGCATCGCCCAAGCCTTCCGTGGAAGCTCTCGGTCGAGGTTCTCAAACGCTGAACTTACCACTGGCCTCAGACACGCATCCGTGTTTTCCCCAGCGGATAACGGTGGCCATGTCCACAAAACAGATGCTACTAGTTCGACAGCCACGCCTGGTATTGGTACACCTGTGCCGCACTTTGCGACAAAGACTGATGACAGCTACTTTCCTGAAGGCGCAGTCATGGATAGTCAAGAGACTGGTGCCAGCGCTGATCTTGCGCGAATCTTGAGGCGAGACAGCGTGAGTCAGTCACAGTCCCACCAATCGAGTATGAACTGGGGCTCGTTAATCAGTAATGTCTCTGGACTGTGGAACAGAAGACAAGACTCGACCGCTTCGACAAATGAGATCGCAAGCACGTCTACTACTGGGAGCTTAAGCGATCGCCGCAAACTTGCTCCTAGATCAGTACCAATCCACGGCAGACGGCCAAGCCAATTGGAAGCCCTGGTTGATGAAGTCGGTCGCCTCGGAAAGAGTAAAATGCTCAGTCCAGAAGGCGACCCCGCAATGTTGTGCCGGCCGTCCACATTTCCAAGTGAAGTACATCCACCACGGCTCACCGTCGACGAGAAGGACGGAGTGGTTGATGTGGATATAAACATTCCTGGTTTCATAGGCTGGAATGAAGGCAAAGGCTCTTCTCCTCCATCATGGCTGCTTCATCGTTCCCCGTCATTTGCGAGTGCGGACGAAGCTGGTTCATCGTACAGCTCACATTCACATCGCGGCGACTTGACGGGGTCGAAAACTCCAAATGTCGCGGGCTATCTAAAACGATATCACGAAGACTTTATTCTACAAGGAGTCAAGTCTTACCCCGAGTTTCAAGAGGAAATCAAACAAAGCATGTCAAGAGAACCAACTCCTAGTGATGACATATCGGCTTCCCTCTCAGACACGCACAACGGAGGGGAAAGTTGGGTTAATGTTTGTACGACATTAATTGCTGACTTTCGGACTTTTAGCATTCAACGTCTGACCTTGAGGCGGTTGGCGCAACAAGGGCCTGGAGGCGGTGCTCCTGCCAGCACTCAGAGCCAGTCAAAATCGGAGAACGCCACGGGAATCTCAGTGGCATCATCTAGCGACCAGTCAGGGTCGACAATAACTCAGCCGGAGCAGTTCGATAGTGAAATAGTTATGGACTTCGACACCACTCTTACTGATGCAATCGAACGCGTTCTGAACGAGACAGAGCCGGGGAAACACAAGTCGGTTACGCAAAGCAGGACACACTCCCGGACTGTGTCTGCCGCCACGACTTCTTCTATCAAGTCATTGCCGTTAGAGATTTCGGGCTCCAGGAAAATGAGGGACTGGCCTCGCACATCTGTGCTGTCGCAGTCAGATTGCCGACAAGCAGTGGTGGGCGCTCTCGAGGAGGTCGTGAAGAGCGTCAACGATGACTTGGCCAAGCACAACAAAGGCCGAGACGCTGACGGACACGTCAAGATCAATGGTGATGCCTTGAATCAGGAAATGAAGCAAGATAATGTGCTACGCGAGGGAGTGAAGAAGTGGCTGCTCAACGTCGAAACGAGGAGCGTGTGGTAAGTATGCAGGAGGCAATGCTAGGGATGGACCTATGATGAGTAACGATTTTCTCCCACCCACAGCGACGATACCCTTTAGAGCGCATGTATTATTAGTGCCTTTAGAATCCTAGATGAACAAAAGGATCCGATGGGTTGGAGCTATCGGTAACCACTTGCTTGTTCGGCTAGCCGCCAACATCTTCAGGACACTCCATATGGCTTAGTGTCCCCGGTGTAACCTCTCATGCCGTTTGATTCTATATAGCGTGGGCATAAAGCGGCGTCATCTCCTCCCTAGACGGGGTGAGCAGGGCGCGTCAGTTTTTATGGCTGGTCTTGGCAGAGTTTCTCTTTCTCGGCGTGGAATCAAGTTCACACCTTTTCGTCGTCAGCCTCTAATATCATTTGACCAAGATATACGAAGGCGAGCAATTATCCTACACCCCCTCCCGTCTTGACAACCTTCCTCTTCGCCTAGGAGCTCCAATGTGTTTGCGTCCGCGCCTGTGGAGGATGAGTTGTCCATCTCACCGTAGCTGGCGACTGGATTTGGGAGATGTAGATCAGGGTTTGAGAGCCCAAAATACCTAAGGTGCAATACCTTCCTTTTCGCCGCAGCGTTCCAATATGGATCAAACCACAACGCATCGAAGGACCAGCAGCGGCTCCACGGTCCGAGCAACTGCGAGCTCCCAGACAGGGGTTCATTCTGGCTCCCAGTACACTCCAGTCACCCCGTCAGTCCGTGCGTCTCTTTGGGTACATGACGACGCATTCTCCTCTGAGGATGTTCTCATCAATGAAGCCATCTTGGCAGGCTCAAATATCCAGGAAGGCGGCTTGATCAAGATCTTTCCAGGTACCGAGACTTCGGAGGTCCGAGATTTTCAATCCCCCAACAGTGACCAGGCTGATTCCAGGCGCAACACTGGCTCTTTGGCCGAAGCTGGAGATTTCTCTCGCAGAGGTGACTACTACCTCTGCATCGCCAAGTTTGCATCTGCCGAGTTCAAGGCGAAGCAGGCCAACCTGCAAGTCTCGATCAAGAGTAATATCGCGACGGCTTTCGGATTTAGGCCGCGCTCCCACGTGCGCATCCTCCCTGCGTCTTTCGAGGAATCCACGGCATCTCATGTGGAATTCTGCTTCAGGGATACCTACCTCGCAAGATCGGACATGTGGCGTCTCGTCGGACAAGAATTGGCGGGCACGACAGTTTACGCTGGCCAAAGAATCACGTACTTGGGTAGCATCAAGCTCACCGTGAAATCTATTCATGTTCGAAACCACAAAGCGCCCACTGCATATTTTGCTGGAACCACGATCCCAGTCTTCCGCAGTGAAGCTGCTCGGTACGTGCTCTTCATACAAATGTCCAGCGAAATGTGGGATTTTGATTCCGAGGGTAATGGCGAGATCATGTTCAACCGCGTCATTAACGGTTTTCTTCCTGAGCTTTTTAAAAGATGGACCGATTTGGATGTTCGACACCTTGTCAGCATCGTCCTTTTTGGGCGGCTGGAATACGATCGCTTTGATCTAGCACGGAATAAGGATAGAAGGCTAGAAACGGCACCAATGTCAGGGTCTCCCAACATGACGGCTCGCCAATACCAGGACTTCTACAGGGTGGTCGTCACAGATATGGCCAGTGCACAATGGACAACAATTTTGGATGAACTTAAAAAGGACTTTCGTGTCTTCTTAAGGGACATTTCCCTACACACTTCCAACAAGAAGGAGATCACAGCAGAAGACGCCAAGGCGCTACCTACGCGCATTGCAGGCAGGCCAAGCGCCGCACTAAAGGGAAATATATTGGAAGCTATTAACATTGCCAGCACTCAGTTCGCCCACGACTTTGAGGACCGAGACCTGATTCGGACTGGTGTTTCAATCGTGGTTGTCACAGCAGGGACAGGGGTTTTCGAAGTCAACCGAGATTTGCTAAACCTAACGTCCCAAAATTTAACCAACAATGGCGTCGGCATTGACATCGTTTGTCTGTCGAGGATGCCTTTGCACTCTGTACCTCTGTTCAAATACCGGACTTCTGGAGTCGAGGAATCATCTCTGTCCGCGGTAGTTGAGGATTTTAGCGCAACCGAACACAAATACGGATCTGGGCCAAGCTTTTTCGATTCCAGCCAGCCTCGAAAACTCTCCCCAGCACTGTCATCTACGGCCACGAATAGCACACAGTACTTTGCGAGCTTTATTTCAGGGCGAAGTCATGAATATTCCCAGGGGTGGAGCTACGGCATTCCGCAGTGGGTTGACCTTTCATACTGGTCAGCCGAGGCCGAGCCCGCAGAGATGAGATTTCCGGAGGAGGTCCCCAAGGATGCAGACGGTATCTCAAAACGCAAAAAGGGCTCTTTCTTGCCTCGAGTGAGGATGTACGAGATCCAGATGATGGGGCTCATGGAACTAGGCATGGCAGACATGATCATCCCATTTATGACAGAAACTCAAGCACCGCCCACAGGTTCACACAAACCCACTCCCTCGAAACGCAGACGAGCAACCGGAAGCAGGAGTCTGTCGCATTCGCCCACTCTATCGCGCAAGAGCCGCCTTGGCCCAGAACCTCCGCGGGTGGCCCAGGGGTTACTGTCCATAAATGCCAAAGCATTGGGAGACATATTCGAGCGTATGGACGGGTATGACTCAGCATTGTTTGAAGTACAGTCAACCGCAGAGACCAAATCTAAAGCCAGGAAGGCAGCAAGCAACCGTCTGGTAGGGAGTGATACCGCCTCCTCGACCCAGCCAAACAAGCTTCAGCCTGGGAACGAAGCACCAAAATCGGGATCCGGATTGACGAAGGTGCTCACCAACAAGTCTTTGAATTCGCCTTTCCGTCCACAGCTCCCGTCCCTGATCTCGGCAGATGCTTCAAGTCCTCTACTAGCAACTACAAAAGCCCGGGAAGCAACAAAGGTTAACCGGACGCTGAACTATTCTTTGAGAGGGTTGGCTCCACCTGTTCGTGCTGTTGCTAGTACCGAAGTAAATGTCACTAACGTAGAGGCTCACTCGCCATTCGGTAACCTTGGCCACTCGCGACCGACAGCGTCGACCTCAGCTGCTAGCATACGCTCAGTCTCCACGAACAGTGTACTTGGAGACAAGCATAAGGAAAACTCTGCTTCTTTGGAAAGGTCAAACCCTCGGTTTTCCGGTCGGCCAGAAGACACGCCGTCGAAGCCAATTTCGATAAATGCGCCTTTGCGAAAGATTCAAGACGATATCCTCGCTGGATCTCAAAGATCAAGTTCCACAACCCGGAGAGTCCAGACCCATCTGTCCACTTCAAAGGATGATCTCAGATTGAACAAAGAAGCGGACAGCGAGTCATCACACTCTTCGGGAAGTGATGGAGTAAGCGACCCGGATAGCGTAGAGCCGACTGAAAGTCAATTCGGAGCATCGGTCGCCAGTTCTGTCCCAAGAAGTACTCTCCCGTTTGTACGCAATGTCAACGCATCAAATCCTCTGAAGCGACATCCCGAAAGAGAGTCGTTCTTCGGCAGGTGGCAGCATCTATACCCTCGAAAACCACGTGCTGCTACCGTTAAGTGGAAGTCTCTGTGCACTCCTGCGTCGGTCCCTCTGACAACAGAGGATTTTCCGACAAAGGATGAACTTGAGATGGATTATGATACTGAAAGCTACGACGTCATTTTGGCTAATCCCAACGACATGCTCGAGGAGCCCGAGTCACGCGACATACTCCTAGGCGAGATGTTGGCCCTGAGGTTCGCTCATGGCTATCAACTCGTAGTTGGACCGTGCTTACTCGAAGCCGTCGGGCCCGGTACGTGCGACACTTCTTCGTTCTTCACACCGAATCTTGTTCGCCCTGATGGGTCCTTTATTGTCATGTCAATGGGAAACACGATACAGAAGCTGTCCCTTGAAGCGAAAAATCGCATTCAGGTGACCAAGTATATTCGGAGACCACCAAATGTCCAGCCTCCTTTTCCCCAAGAGATCCACTACTATCCCAATATCAGAACCATTCTGTCAGAAGCATACAGGATACGAGATATGCAGTTCAACGGATTTTCCGAGCAGTACCCATGGGAAGCGGCCGACAGGTATTTGGCTGACTTTAGGAAGCAAAATGATGTAGACGTCAAAGCTCTCCGCTTCTGGCGAGCAAGATTCGTACTCATCCCAGTGGCGCCTCCAGCCAATTCCTGGAGGCCAACACTCTCCGAAGCTGAAGAAAGTGAAGAAGAGATCCATTTGCGCGGTATTCGAGCACTAACGCAGATGTGGCAAAAAGCACGATATGTGCCTCCGGACGAGAGAAGACCGGCCCACACTCGACCAGCGACCATGAAACGGAAGGACAGAAACCCGTTAAGGATCAATCTCGAAACTCTGAATCCATCTGAATTGGTGGCGACAGAGCTCGACAAGCTTATCGCGGCTGAAGAGGCTGGCGAAGTACAAACCACACAGCTTCTACCCGAAGCCGAACAGTTCGAAAGGGACTCCTTCAGTCTCCCCAAGCTAGCCCAAGCCCTGCAAGGTGAAAACGGGATTGAGATCAAGACACGACGCTGGCATTTGCGTCTGTACTACAGTTGCTTCATGGGCGAAGATCTGACAAATTGGCTAGTGCACAATTTCAGAGACGTTGATACGAGGGAGGATGCTGTAGAATTGGGCAATGATCTTATGAAAGAAAACCTTTTCGAACACGTCAATAGCAAGCACAATTTCAAGGACGGGAACTATTTCTATTCCATCAAGCCTGAGTTTCGCACCCAGCGAACGGAAGCTAGACAGTCATGGTTTCCCGCCAGCCGACGCTCAGACCGATCGATCCCCCCCACCCCGGCGACAGAACATCCAACCCGAGAGTTGCTCAGTGGCAGGTCACGCTCGGGTTCAAACCTCGCCAACCACGGACAGGTTGCCTCTGAACTTGCGAAGACGTTGGGCGACAAGAAAAGACGAACCGTGACCTTGAGCAAGATGATCCGAATCGACGTGGACACGAGAAAACGGTCCAACAGACCCGAGATCATCAACTTGCATTATGACAGACTTCACAATCCAGAGAACTGCTATCATCTCGAACTGTCTTGGTTCAACGTCACTTCGAAATTGGTCGATGACGCTGTTGTCAGCTGGACTACACAAGCCGAGAAGTACGGGTTGAAGCTCGTTGAAGTCCCCATCGCAGAAGCGTGTAAGGTACCTGAGCACGAACCATTTCGTGCCGCCTACCACATCAAGCTTGCTCTCGAGCCTCCGCAGCGCATCTCGGTCAGCACCATGTACTTTACAGCTGTCTCCTTCGGGCCGCAAGCGCCAGTCAATCCCGATATTCACTTCTACCAAAAGGCTCTACTTAAGCGGTTCAATTTTGTACTCGACCTCGAAGCGCCCTCGGAATTTCCAGAAAACGTTGAGATTAAGTACTCCTGGGGAGACTTGGACTACCGCTATACGCAATTCGTACACCGTTCAGGAGTCGTCCTCGCCCAAATCACCGATGAAGGCGACATCCTCCTGCTGGCAAATAGGCTTTACAACTCCCGTCAAGCATCTACAAAAGACTCATCTTCAAAATTCGACAGCAGCAAGAAAGACGTCACCCCCAATGCATCCAGCACCACGCTACTGCGTCCTCAAACGTTATCCTCGACTCATTCTGCCCCCAGCATGCAAGCCTCAGGAATTATCGGGTTGAACGTACAATCTCCCCACGCCGGACCCTTTGCATCACCACTTATTCGCCCCCTAAATTCGACGCCGATTCCCCCAGTGCAGGCGGGAACAGATACGACAACATCCACCACTATCACGTCCACTTCGAGCGTCTCGTTGCCCCCTCCGCCTACGACGCCAAAGGTCACGGCCGACGTGCTCGGCACGCGCCGAGCCCTCATTGCCTCTGGGTTCACGCACTATGTCACTCCCGAACAAATCAAAGATGATCTCGAAGCCTTCTGCGGTGACAAGGACCGGTTGGAACTCTTTTACCGAGAAGTCAGCGCGACACTGCCGGCTCAGCAAGCCGCGCTGAGAGAACGCGAGCGCGACCGAGAACATGGAGGGTACGTGGGAGGACCATCAATAGGAAGGGACAGAGGATACAGAACCGCCGGTACGGGTTCGAGCTTGCTCAGGCCGATCAGGGAGCCCGAGACGGAGAGGGCCATTCCGGAGTTTCGATTGCCAGACCCGTTAAACGTTGGCTTGAAGAGGAAGGACCGGACCGGGTCGGGGTCTGGTAGCGTTGGCTCGACGACCAATTCATGATTATTTTGTCTTTTTCCCTCTTTTGTCGTTTCAACACGCTGCTGAAGACGGATGGTGGATGACCATACATACCATTCATGTCATTTACGCCAGGGGACGTTGCGTGAACGATGAAGCGGAAGTGGAAGTTCAAGTCGATGCCGATGTGCTTGTTGATATTACGCTATGGATCCTAGCACGAAATCCGGCTGCGCCCAAAGGTGCTGCCACTCCTCCTACTCGTACTCGTACTGCATGTACTACTACACCACTGTACCACTATTGGATATTACCACACGATGGACCACTATCCCATGTACCATTTGCTCTTCCGTACTTATATTATATACCTTTAATCAACGGCGCCGCGTTCATGGCATAGGATATGTGCAACTATGGAGGTCCAAGATCCTGTGATGAAATTTCAATCATATGGTTCCTCATCTTTCTAGGAAATTAATCGCCTTTTTCTTCGGCATAGGACTGTGGCTGGATTCTGTACCCAGACTTCCATGCTGTCCTGTACTCTTTATTCATCTATCCATCTGTCCGTCTGTCCGTCTGTCCGTCCGTCTGGTAGCGCACTCAGCTCGTTTGCTATATACATATGTCCACAAACAGATACGTAGATAAAAAGATATAGGGTTACAGAACTTTTACCAAGAACTTTCACCATGTCCAGTGAGGAATTAAAGTGTATAATATCCATTGTTTGTCTTAGTATAGTAGATCAACAATTTTATTTTGGTATTCAAACGGACGAAAAAGACTTCGTTCTTCATCACATTATCCTGGTTGGGCTCCCACTCCTACTCTTCGACCGTCCATTGACAGCCGCATCTCCCCCCGCCAGGCTTTCACGACTCTCCGTCCTCACCACCAATCCCGCGCGGTCAATTGAATTCGGCGGTCTCAATCTTTCCGCGCCGTGGCGCTTGTTCTGGAAAGGTGAGTTTCTGCCCTGGGACGTCGGCCTAGAAGGGGTTGGCTTGGGAAAAGCCACGTCAGGCTCCAGGGCCGCGGTGTCATCGTCGGACATGTTGTCCAGCTCAAAATCGTTCGGGTCATAGAGCTGCTGTGAAGCACCCTCCTCTAGGTCACGATCTCTGTCGAGGTGCAAGGCGCCGCCCTTGCGACGATTAAGGAGGGCATGGAGAAAATTGAACGGTGTCCTGAGTTTCGGAGTTGATGAGGGCGGGAACGTAGAGGACGAGGATGGTCGAAGGGAAAGGTATATCCTAGACCGTCGTTCACGGCCGCAGAGGTAAAAGGCCGCGATGATCAGGATGAGGAGAAAGAAAATGAATCCGGGGAGGCGGTGTGGGGCATCAGAATTGAAGAGAGTGTCGTGAATGTGGTCGGTGATGCTTTGGCCGTTTCCGTCACCACTACCACCAGTCTCTTGTAGGTCGGTTGCAGGCGGTTCAGCGTGGTAATCTGGAGTGGCTTGGAGTAAGCCTCCGCCAGGATACTGGAAGTCTTCGGGTATGCCAGGCACGTTGCTACCAAATCCGACAGGTAAATCTCCATCAGAGGCCGGTGGGATCTCCGCGGATGCATATAGGAGCATTTTGCCCATTGTCCAGCTGACCTCCGTGGACTTGATTTTGTTCACGGCCTGGAAAGCATCGAGAAATCCCTTCCCTTTTGCACTGTCCAAAACTTCTTTCGTGCCGTTATGCGACGAGACATTGGTGTCTTCGAGTCCGACTCTGGGAATTCCAATACCATCATGAAGCATATTAATTAGCCAACTAGCCTTGAAACAAACTTCCAATGCGCTCTTTTCGTCGACTTTATTGCCCCACATTTTGTCTTCGATACCCTTTTGAATATCTGACCAATCTTGCTCGCAGAATTCCTTGACTCTTTTCTGATAGGTGTTGAAATCATATGCTTTATCCTTGTGCGCCATCTCAAAAATCTCATGAGTAGTGTGCCAGTACTCGCTCACGCCAATAAAGTGATTGACTTCGAAGTCGATGGCAGGGACGTGAACACCATGAATCAAGCACGGTTCGTCTGGGCAGGGGATATCCTTCTCGAGCAAGGGAAATGTTCGTTTGAGACACTCATCAAATTTCCCGACTCCCCGTAGATAATGGTTCGAGAGCGAAGGACCGTCGTCTGATATGATTGTTCCGTCAAAGTTTAGTCGCAATCCAGTGGGTAAACATGGATCTGGAACCTCCAGGACACCACCAATTGCGTAGGATTCTTCGAGGTCCTCTACATACCTCCGTCGTGCCTCATTCGCGCCGAAACCAAGCCATGTTGTAACGAAGACCTTATACTCTTGCGGCATGCCGTTGATCGTGCGAAGCCGTAGTAGGGTGAGGTCGTTGGCGTGTTTCTCTGCTTCTGTGGCATTTGGTGCAAAAGCAATCTGAGCGGACGCGCCGCCCATGTCCAGAAAGCCGTATGTATGGTGTCCCTTGCCATGATCGTGGTCTTCCGGCGAGTCAAATCCTCCCAGCAGATAATTTGCAGCAATCCACCCATACAATCCTTCTGTCTCCCCAGAAATTACTTGTACATGAACATCGCAGTCTGGTATTAAGAATTTCGTTTCGGATCGTATATAGGAGCAAATATTTCGCAAAACGTTTTTCTGTTGTTGGTCAGGGAGAAGGCGCATGCCAGCCGTGGCAAGCAGGAAAACAGGCGTGTTAGGGACTGTATCTGCAGGGATATATTTGAGGGCGTGTTCGAGGAGGGGTTTCAAGTGATCTGGGCCGACTGAGTCCGGTGTTTGGCCAAAGGTCGACACTCCCGGGTGCACTTTTTTCGTCCATTTGTCCTTTGTCTCCAATTCTGGTAGCGCGTGCAGGGAGGCATGATCAAGTCGAGTGACCGAGTTAGAAATCCATCGATAAATATATACCCTTGTCCCAGATGAGCCAGCATCCAGGACCACCCCGTACCGGTTATCAGGCCCGTCGACCATCGCAGGGACCGCTCATCGCATGATGGAGCGAGAGACCAAAAGTTGAACCAGTCAACCGCCGAAGATTGGGAAGAGAATCGTAGGAGTGGATAAGCCAGATAGGGTATTAAAGAAGGAGAGAAGAGGGGGATCGCAGTCCAATACTCTCGGAAAGTGGAAGAGACAGTTTGAGTGTTGGGAATTAGAAGTTGCATTGTGCTGCTGCATGCATGAAAATGACAGCGAACCAAGTTACGTATACACACGTGATTATTTCGGTTATGATCGCCGCTTTGAGGTTAGCGGAAATAGTTTCCTTCAGCCTTGTCAAGCCTCGAGGCACCTTGTCGTTGCTTCGCTTTGCTTCGTGAGTCTGCACGGCTCAGAACCTTCTATGAAAGAACAGCTTCCGTAGAGGGGTTGCTTGTTGCCACGAAACGATCGAGCGTAGATTGTGTAACACAAAACTCAAATCCTGATGTTTGTCCATCCAGAGGTTTATCATGCCTCCCGGAAAAGGGGTGTCATCACTTCTGATGTATATCCTTCGACATTGCAGGACCTCAACCAAATAAACTCACTCCCCCCAGCAACAGCAAAGAATTGATCTCATGGGTAGTTATCATGGTGCTCGGTTTTCAATTGTCTGATGTTGTGGAAACGTACATCACGCCTGATGAAGGGTGGTACTGTTAGCGAGACAGACTCCTACGTGGTCGTAAAGGATTTCCATACAAATGTCCTTCTCGTGCCGGATTCCTCATGCTCAAACTGCAAGAGACCAAGTGCCTAAGTCGAAGCCGCAAATTCACTCAGAAGGCTTTTCACCTACCGGACAGTGCACCAGGTTTGCACCGAAGAAGGAACAATGCTGCGCATACCGAGTAAATATTTGAAAGCGACAGATGATATTCCAAACTCTGAATGACATGTCCATCAGCAGCATCCTTCTGCATATCGTATCACTCAACGGAAGCTCACGGTACCGGGCATCTGGAAAGCTCGGTGTAACCGATGAGACGAGAGGTTCCTCCTGTCCCCCAGCAGATTTGGCTGTTCCCGACAATTCTTTGTGCAGTCCGCTCCTGATTTTGCAGAAGCACAGACTCAGTGAAGAGGACAATAAAGAGCATTTTCAAGTAGCCTGCACATGCATCTCAACTGAGCGGCGAAAGGACTACCTGATCTAGGCCGCCCTTGTTGTCGTTGACCGTTGACCGTAGACTCTTGACCGTGCCTTCTGAAAGCCTAGCCGTGGCTTGGGCGTTATCCCTCCACCTGGAAAGGGACACGCGCATTCCACAACAAAATTCTCCTTTTCCAAGCAACTTCAGTCATTTCTGTATGTCCTTTGAATACCAATACCTTACCAAACCCTTACAGAACTGACAGGCAAAGAGCGGTGAAGGGAGCGTATCACGGGAAAGGCAGCTGAGAACAGGCAGCACGCAAGGCCTAGGCCCCTGGGATCCTCTAAAACCTACTGGTACCTGCAGAAGCCTCAGGGAGGACAACCGCTTGTTTTGACGTCCTGGGAACCCCCCCTGCCCCCTTTTCCTTGCATGCTGCCAGCCTTGCATCGTTACCACTGGCGGTGAGCATGTTCATGCAACCTGTCAAAGAACTGGATTGACAACGCAAGCCGAGTGTTTGAGGCGGCACAGTGCATGGCCTCCTCTTCGGGCTTTCAGCTTCCGCGCTTGTGAAACCACGATGGGTCGCCTACGGCTGGTCTGTTCGTTAACGGGGAGTGGCAAAGGTACCAAAGTTCAAAAAACAAGAGACCTAGACCATACATCAAATCAAGCACGGGTCGATTGCAGGCAGCAGTGCTGTTGCCTACCGGCGCGGTTGAGAGTTTCCAAACCCAAAAAAAATACAACGACGCGACAAGTTGAATGGATTGGAGAAGAGCCGCCTTTTCTCGCGAGTCGATAGTGGCTCATTCAGGGGGAGTGGGTCGATATGTTCCCCGTCGATGTAAGGCAGCGTTTCGCTAGCTTCAGGGGGCGTTTGTTTCAAGTCTCTCAAGCGGGGGTCTCGCCTTCCCGCAAGGGCGCTTCCCGCCCTGCCTTGCGTTAGGTGCTAGGCAAGT